GGCCTGGGGGCCCGCAGTGGGGGCGGGGGCGCCGGGGCTCCACGGGCCGCGTCCAGCCTCCTGCACCATTCCCAGCCCCTGCTCCACACGTTCAAGATGGAAGGAACGGGCAGCTGCCGGCTCCCGGTCTCCAGGATCGGGAGGGGTTCAGTGGTCCCAGCAATTGTCAGTCCCGGTTCCACCTTGTATGCCTCTCCGCTACCCGAAGCGAGGTGCTTGGGCAGCGCCCCCACCCCCAGTTTACTTAGTACTGTTGGCGGGGTCTTTGGGTCTGGCTTCAGGCTCCTGAAGCATGCCTCCTCTTCCAGCGGGGTATTTCGAGGGAGGGGGGATTGGACAGCGACCCCCGTTGTTGAAGGGCGCATTTGGAATTGCTGGGGTCTGTCCAGTGGCCTCACGTCCCTCCCCAGGGAAATCTGGAGGCGGGGCGGGGGCTCCGTAACTCCGGGGTTGCGGGGCCCCGAGCTGCGGCCCGCGGCGCCGCCCTCCCCCACCTGGGGAAGGGCTTGGGGGGGGCCCGGCCCCCGCCCGCCCGCCCGCGGCGCCGCAAGGCCTCTGGGCGCGGGTGGCAGCGGAGCCGCATTGCTGTCGCTGCCGAGGGGCAGGCGCCTGGGGAGCGCGGTGGGCGAGGGCCGGGCCGCTGCGCATTTTCTCCCTATCTCTGCCCCAGTTTCTGGAATTTCAAGGGCAGAGGGATTGCCGTGGGGGCCGGGGTGGGGGTGGGGGACCCCTGAAGGCAGAAATGTGGGTGTTTACTTGCGGTGGCCCGGCTCCCGAGCTCAGGCTTGTGGAGATTGGGGGCTTGGTGGCTCTCAGTTTGACTCTGGAGAGTGTGTTTGGGGAAGAGGGGCGGGGGTAGTTGTCAGTTCGTATTTCATGAACTAAGAAAATGCTTAGTGTTCACAAACTGGGCAGCAAATGTCAATAGACTCCATTCCATTGTAGCCCTTGTCCTTAACTTGGGGAGTGCCGCCAGGGCTCACCAAGGGCACACAAGTCCACTTCCCCTGTGAGACCATCCGTGTTGCAGGCTCTGCTAGGGTTCTCTGAAGCCAAGGCCTAGCTGGCAGGGTCAGGGACCAGCGTCCTCTTTAAATAGTCGTTCTGGTCTTTGGAGGGTGGGATAAGGGGATTTTTCATGCATGGAGTTTTCTTTTTGAAGACGTATTTTCAGCTACCCAGTTCCAACCATTTTCATTTACAGCAGGATAACTTAACCTGTCAAGATGACTTCTAACTGGTTTTTAAATGATCTCTTCAAAGGGGAGGGACCATCACTTTTTTTTTTTTTTAGCTTTTACCCCTCCATATTCCCATAGTCTTACCTTTTCGATGGTGATGGTGGTGGTGATGATGTGCCATGGTTATTCCTACTCGGCACAGGCTTTCCGGGGCTGTAAATCTTCACGGGAGCAGAATGCTTCATTTTCCGCGGAACAGCTGGCAGTTTCGAACTGCTGACCCTGAGGTTAGCAGCTACCCACAAACGCTCCCTGGCCTAATGCCTTCTAACGAGTGTCGATTTCTCCACCTCTGTACGGGTACAGTTAGGGTTCTGTGACTTGAACTTTCCCTTTTTCAGTGACGTAGTGAAAAGCGAACATTTAAAATATATAATTTTCATAGGAAAGAGTTCATCGGGCTACCCACCCCCTTTTTTTTGCATATCAAGTAGAAATATGCCAGATATAGTCACTTCATGTAACTAAAAATTAGGAAACTAAGACTTAAGTTGTATTTGCTCTCCCTAGGCTTAAAAATTCGATTGTAACCAAGAATTTACTTCAGAGTAGCTTGAATGATCAAAGATAGCTGAAACGTTTTAGTACTCTGATCGTTTTCTGTTCCTTAAGGCTTCACAAAAATGTAGTTGATTTAATTTCTTCTTTACTTTAAATACCTTTACTGGAAGCATACTTGTAACCCTTATTCTTTTTGCTAAATGTGTACAGTTTTGTCCAATATGAGACTCTATTTGTGAAAATTTATTCTTCAACAGATCTTTAGTTAATGTACTTTAGAGTTGCTTTTGGGAATCACCTTCATTGGGTTCTTCCTAAATCAGTTACAATCTCTTCACTTAAGTTTGAAATGTATCCATAATATAGTAAGTTTCTCTGGAGCAAGGATGAAGGGAAAAAAAGTAACTTAACTTGGGGTTTGACATGTTTAGAGATAGAATATATTCTTGAAAGTGGTTTTTCATGGCCTTCAAAAAGGATTTGTTCTGTCTTTGCTACATACATTTGAGAAGGCAAGTGTTTTAGTGATTTTTTTTTCCTTAGGAAAGAACAGTGTAACCATAAAATTAAAATTCGATAGTCATTTTCTTTGCCTTAACCCAAATTTTATTTTTGCCTTTTACCCTTCAGTCCTCTTCAACATATTTTTACATAATTGAGTGAGTGTATATTATTTTGTATTCAGTTCCCCCCCCCTTAGCAATGATTTCAATATATCTATGATTTCTAGTCTTACTGTTGTTGAAATTTGGGTATCCACTTTTTTCTTCTTGTTTTGGGTAGTGGTGCAGTGAACATCTTTTAGACTAAAGCTTTTTGCTTCAGTGTAATTATTTCCTTTGAACAAGTTCCCAGGAATGGCATTACTAGGTCAAAGGGCTTCTAAGATTTTATGACTCTTGCTAACTGTCTAATTGCAGTAGACTTGGACTCACGCGCAGTGCTGAGAATATGGCTGTTGACTTTTTTTTCAAATCATTTGTCATTTGTCCAACACCATAGGGCCATTTTGAAGGGAAAAGTTGCCTTTACTGTCAAGTACACACGGTTAAGTGCTTCTGTTAGTTACTTGATTGTTTATACTTGACTTTGATTTTGTTTCCTCTGGGGATTTAATAATGTCAGGATGCCTTGAAAACTGCAACTGTTAATATTACTAATGAGGACACATGGTTTATTGAATGTATTGATACTTCCTTCTAGTAAATACAGGAATGAAATTCTTAAGAAAGTGTTCTAAAGCTTTGTGATCTTTAAAAAAAAATGTTTTTTTAACCTCCTTTCATTTAAAAGTTTTGTTTTAATTTTAAATTAGCTGCTAGTCTGTGATCAAGGATCCCTGGTAGCTTAGTGGATTATGAGCTGGACTGCTAACTGTGAGATCAGCAGTTCAGATCTGCCAGCCGCCCTGAGGGAGATGAGGCTTGCTGCTCCTGTAAAGATTTACAGCCTCAGAAACCCTATTCAGGGTCACTGTGAGTCAGAACTGACTCGGTGGCATACAACCACCACTAACCACCTATGATTATTATTTTTGGTAACTTTTTTTGTGAGTTCATGGCATTATTGAGAATTCTCAATAGTTAACTCATACCTTTTCTCCTTTTACATTCCCTTCCACATTTTTTTTTAAATAGTGGTTTTCAGAAACCCTATCAGGGTCATTATGGGTCGGAATCGAATCTATGACACTTCACAGCAACAATCCTGTTAGGGCTTCTGGTATAGCGCTGTACGATTAGCACTGAACTGTGAACCACAAGGTCAGCAGTTCAAACCCACCACCTGCTCCTTGGAAACCCTATACAGGGTCACTGTTAGTCAGAACTAACTCCATGGCATTTAACAACAATAACAACAATCCCATTATCCTAATTCTAATCCTAAGTAAACCAAAAACTAAACCCACTACCCTTGAGTGGATACAAACTCACTTGACCCAATAGGACAGAGTAAAACTTCACCGTAGGATTTTCAAGGCTGTAAGTCTTTTCAAAAGTGGACCTCAACATCTTTTTCCCACAGAGTGGATGGTGGGTTCAGACCGTCAGCTGTTCAGTTAGCAGCTGCGTGCTTAACTACTGATCCTTTACCCTAATTCTAATCCTAAATAGGTTAGCCGAATTTTGTTGGATACAGGATTCAGGGTGAATATATATTGTGGTGCTGTAGGATAAGCACTGGGCTGTGAACCACAAGGTTGGCACTTCAAGGTTACTAGCTGCTCCTCGGAAACCCTATACAGGGTGGCTA